TAGTGATTGGTGACCCTGCACATAGCAGGGGGGTCAAAACTAGATGGTCATTGTGGTCCTTTTCAACCCATGCCATTCTATGATTCTATGAGTCTGTGAATCAGAGCCTGTCATTTCTCCTAACCTGGAGCTGGCACTCAAACAGGCAAATGCATACTTAAAAGCATGAGGAGTGTTCAGAAGAAAATAGCAACTTACTGCTTGAACAGATGCACAGCAAAACATTGAATTTGCCTTATCCAGCATTTCCATAAGTAGAATACTCATTTACGGGCTGTGAGCTTCTAATGTCTTCCATTATATCACTGCACAAAGTCTCTCTGATCCCTATTAACACATAAGACAAACAAAAAACAATAAACTCTAAAAGCTAGAGAAAAGAAAAAAGAATAATAAAAAATACCAAGCTCTGCACAGTTTCTTCTTTTTAAGTCTAGGTGATCTTTGTCTAATGATGGATAATATTTGGACTGCACCTTTTCTTATCCTATCAGTTTTTTTACGGAAAACAAGACACAGGTTATGCAGGTGTTATGCGTTTAGGTGCAAGTACACATGTTTTTTTAACTGGAAAGGAAATTTTCCTTTAGGGAGAAGGATCATCAAGATCTTTGGGCAGAAGTGTTTTCAATGCCTTTAGGCAGATTTAGGACTCAGGATTTCAGTAGGAGAAAAGTAGTGGTCCAGACTGTGACCTCTTTTCTTATCTGTGTGCCAAGATAAGTATGGATGTTTGCCTTTGTGACTGCTTGAATGTATTCCTTGAATGGCTTCAAGTTTCACATGCAGACTTTTTTAACACAAGCTCTATTATTTCAATCCATTGTTTTATTTTGATCATGATATCAAAGACTGGGAGTATTTAACGTTGGTCCTGGTCACCTGCCGTGTCCTGAAAGCTTGTTATGTTGACGGTACATTTTTTATTTCTTTGATTTAAAAATAAAATCCAGCACAACAAATATAGTATTGAATCCTGTACAAAGCAGGATTATGAGCTCTGTATGTTGTGTGCTTTAATGGGCCTTTCTGTCTTTGTAAAAATAAAGCTATCTCAAGCCAGCAAGTTTCGAAGGTAGAGCCAAGCTTGAACCAGAGAGTTGGCTTGGATCTCAGCAACAAGCATAAGCCAAGCCAATAGACCTGACTGTATTCTCTTATGGACAGAAAAAAATTAGGGAAGGGTATGCACCAGAAGATTATGTAGCAAAAAACAAGGCCACAGTGTTCTGTGCTTTTCCCTTCTTTAGTGAAAATAGAACTAAAGCAGATCTTGGGTCAAGCCGTAACTGTCTTGTTCATCCTCTGTTTAAAAGCAGAACAGAAAGACCATTTTTCTCTAATTACACCATGTAAGTGGTTTCACCCTGCTGGGCAGCTAAACTCTACCACACCGCTCTCTCACTCCTCTTTCTCAAAGGAAAAGAGAGAGAAAATATGACCAAAAGGGCTCAAGGGTCAAGATTAGTACAGGGAGATTGCCAGTTACCACCACAGGCAAAACAGACTCAGTGTAGAGAGAACAGTATAATTTATTGCCTATTGCAAACAGACTGGAGCAGTGAGAAACTAAAAGCAAAAGAAAACACCTTCCCAATCACCCTCTTCTACCTCCTTCCTTCTCTTCAGTCAGTACAGGGAACAGGAAAAGGGGCTGTCATCAATCCACAACACTTCATCTTTACCAGTACTTCATGGTCACTCTCTGCCCCTGCTCTACCTGCTGTCCCTCCCGTGGGATGCTGTCCTTCCCAAGCTGATCCTACATGGGCTTCCCACAGGCTGCAGCTCTCCAAGCATAGTTCCAACATGACTCCATACCACAGGACACACCCTTCAGGCACTGCTCTGCACAGGTTCTCCACAGGCAGCAGCTCCCCCAGCCCTCCTACCCCACCATGGGCTGCTCCCCACAGCCTGCAGCTCCGGCCATGTGTACTCCTGCAGGCGTATCCGTGGGATGTATCTCCTTTAGGCCTCGTCCACCTCTGCACTGTGGGCTCCTCCATGTCTGCACATGGAGATCTGCTCTGCGTAGTGCCCATGGGCTGCAGGGGGACAGCCTGATGTACTACAGGCTTCTCCTGGGCTGCAGGAAGCTTATGGTCTGTGCCTGGACCATTTCCTGCCCCCCCTTCTGCACTGACCTTGGGGTCTGCAGGGATGTTTCTCTCACATTTTCTTTCTCCTCTCTCCCAGCTGCTGTTGCACAACAGTTTCTCCCTTTCTAAAATCTCTGGCAGTGGTGGGTCCCTTTTAGAGCAGCAGGAGCTGTCTCCAATTTGATATGGGGCTGTGCTGGGCTCTGCTTGCAGGGGCCAACCTGGCAGCCTCTCTGCCACAAAAACCTTTCCACATAAACCCAATACATGCTGCTATGGAGGAATAATGAAATAAACACATTTTTTTCCTGTCTCTTCACTTGCAGCCCTTGTCGAAAGGTGGTTGTTTTTTAACAGTTTGCCTAGATTACAGATCTGAGACAGGACCTGTATATTCATTTATTGTTTGTTTGTTTGTTTGTTTGTTTGTTTATATGGAGATTTAAAAATCATGGTGAAGTATTTTCTCTAGTTTTCTCCTTTTTAAATCTTCCACAACATAAGAATAGAAAAGATGTGTACTGCCTAAGTCCTCCCACTGACCTTGGACGTTCAATATCAACTTCCAAAGAGAATGAATGAGCTCTATATTATTGCTCTCTGATATATACTTTTCAAGAGGAAGATTTGGCTCAAATCTCTTTCTTAATGCATTTTGTAGCAAGAGCACCATTTTCTTGTCCTTAAAGGCTAGAACTTTGGCTAGAGCTTGACCCATCAAGCTCAAGCTCTAACACACTAGAAACAGAGCAAATTATCTGAAAATTTGCTCACTCTCTAGAAAGCCAATTAATCTGCTGAAAATCTATGGCTTAAAGCCATGATTTGTATTTGTGTATAGTTCACCATGAGAAATGTTTGGAGTGGTGTGATTCAACATTATTCAATATTCAAACATAATGGATGCAACCACCTAGTCACTACTTAGTGAATGGAAGGCTAAAGGTATACAAACAATACATTTACAGTGAAGATTTTGCCAGTTTTCTTCAAAAGAAGATTTCAAAATTTGATTTTTTAGATAAATTTTCTTTTAGACTTTAATATAAAACAATGATCCTTTAATGTAATAGAGTGATATGCAGTCCCCATGTCACCGTTATTGAAAACTACAGTAATCTGCCCTGCTTAAGAAGCAGGAAATGATAGGAAAAAAATGTGAGGCTATCATTTAAATCTCAGAAAAGTTATTTTACCTCAATAGCAGTAAGATTTTCCTAGTTGAGAGGATGCAGATGAGAGGGGAATTAGTTTGTCTTTAAAGGCAATAACATTTCTATGGGGTAAAGTTGTTATTCAGAGGACAAAAATACAGAAATCTTTTAAGGATATTATCTAGTTGTTTGAGAACTGCTCTGAAAGTAATGCCTCTTTTTCTATTACGTTGGCCCACAATGTCAGAGGTGGATGTTGGTGTTAAGGCAGTAGAGGTTTAATGTTCCCACCAGTATTCCATTATATGTTGTTGTCATGTAAAAGATGGCAGCAGAGGGGCAGTCACAGAAAATGGCATCTGACATGTATGTGTGTATGGAGCAAAGTTATGTAATTGAATTCCTCCATGTGAAAAAAAATTGCACCCATACACATTTATTGGTGCTTGCTGAAAATTTATGGAGACCAAACAGTGGATGTGAGCACAGTGAGGAAGTGAAACAATGAGACAGCAGTGATGACAGTGGGCCATCTCTACTGGTTCAGATTTTTACAAGCATGGCATGCAATCTCTTATTCATCACTGAAGAAAATACATCAGTAATGGTGGAAACTGTGTTGAAATAATTGTAATTTTTTTTGCTGAGAACTTGCTCTATCAGATAGTGTTATTGTGTTATTTGTATCTGTTGTAGTTTTCCATGGAAATAAATAGAGACATTACTTTTGAAACAACTTACATAAATATTTTAGCATTCCTTTCTTGAAGTCTGTAATGAACATTTATGCATCTCCCATTCTTAAGCAAAGTTATAGAAAGCATTCATTTCACAAGGGGAAGATTTCCTTACAAGAGGAAGATGGAATACTATGTGGCCTTAATAATCTGAGACAAATGCATACGTAGCACCTGCTGTTTTGTTACAATTCCTATGATGATCAGTGTTTTCCCTAAACCTTAGCTGCTGTATTCCTGTAATTATATGAGGAATTCAGTTTTTTTCTTAAAAATAAATAAATAAATAAATAGTAATCTCTAACCTTTGTGGTTCTTGAAAATTTCAGTTTTTAAGGATCAAAAACTGGAAAGGAAATAAAAAGAACTTTTATGTTTATTCTGCCTGAAGTTTCATGATTTTGAAGTTCTTTTTCTCCCAAGAGACTGACAGGAAAATATGTCTACTTTAGAAAAACATCACTTTCTAACCTCAGAGAGAGAAACTAATGGGAGACATCAAGCAGTCTGAGTAGTCACTGTTGGTTTTTTTTATATCAGGAGTACTCTGTGCAGAGTCAAGTTATATGTCTCAAACCTCTCAAGGTATTAACAAAGGGGCTTTTCAGTGTAAGATCATAAGAAGTTGCTAATTATGACAGTTATGAAATCTTTGCCTCTGTTGTGTTGAAGAATTTCAAATACATATTGCATTTTTCTTATTCCTTTTTCCCTACCAACTGATTTAGATCACAGAAGAGAAAAAGAAAAAAGAAAAAAAGCAAAGAAAGCATAAGCAAACAAACAATAGCCTTAATGTTGTTTCCATACTTACGTGGAGAGAAAAAAGGAAGACATAATTATACATTTGAATAATGTGTAGCTGTAACTGTCTCTTTTATTTCAGAGTTATTTATTCTAAACATAAAAACTCAGTTTATCTGGCAACTGTGAAGTCCAGCCAGTTATACAGCACCATGACCAGCTGTCCTGAATAGAATCACTGACCTTTTCCTCCTTTTCTGCAGGACTGTCCTCCAGAAGCAGGTGATTTTCGTGCTCAGCAGTGCTCGGCGCATAACGATGTCAAGTATCAGGGACAGTTTTATGAGTGGCTTCCTGTCTCTAACGATCCTGACAACCCATGTTCGCTGAAGTGCCAGGCCAGAGGAACAGCTTTGGTTGTAGAGCTGGCACCAAAAGTTCTGGATGGGACCCGATGCTACACTGAATCCCTGGATATGTGCATCAGCGGCTTGTGCCAAGTAAGAAGAGAGGCTCTACTCTGCCATTATTCCTAATTAATTCTTTCCTCAGTTCTCTCTCATGTGCTCTCATCTTCTCCATGCCTGTACCATTGGGAGTTCTTCTTTTTAGTCATCCATTTTAATCTTGTGCTCTTTTCTGTTATCTTGTTTGTCATAAGTCTGCAAAATCAGCATACAAAATCAAAGATCAAAAATTGCTTTCTCACTTTATGAGTGTTCCTTGGTTTTTCAGAGGAATGTGTTCTTCATTTTTGAACAGTTTTCTAGTTAGCTTCAGTAACAGATCTAGTTTGAAAGTATTCTAAGAAATATTTTCAGCTTTTGATTTTTATATACAAAGGCTTTCCAAGTTTCTAGGAAATTATGTTTTGTTTGAGACTCCACTTAAGACACTAACAACATAGTAGTAGTTGAAGTTTTAAGCTGGAAAATCTGCCATTGTTTTGATACATGACTGAGTAAGCTATTACACTTTGGGCCTGTTTCTTTGTTACATTTTAACCCTTCACTTCAAGACTGCATAAAAGTCAAGAGATCATTCATCCAGTTTACTAATCCTAATTTGTTTTCTTCCTGTCTCTGAATTGCTTTTATATTACCCTTTTCTTATATGTTGCTTTTGCTTACATATTACTATTGTTTTGAATTTGTGTACATCATAGTTTAGTCTCTTGAACTGCATATAGGCAGCAGAGTAATGAAAAGGAAGACATTTGCACCATCTCTGTTAAATACTGAACACACCTTAATACTGGAAAAGACAAAGTCTAGGCTCACATTTCAATGCCCATTTCACTTAAAATCTATGTAGATTTGATATGCTGTTGGCTTTGTAGAGTACTTTCAGCTATGTTTTGTGTCTTTGGAAACTTACCTCCACTTCCTTACTACTTGCTTTTCTGCTATGAACAAGAAATAAGCTTGCAATAAATAGGGTATCCACTTATTCCATTAATCTCATTTAAGATCTTAAAAAGGGAATAATCTCTTTACTTGATCATACAAGTTTTTGAAAAATTCAGTTGCTTCAATGAAATAGACATATTTCAATGTTTTTGTTTTTTGTTTTCTTTTGTTTTATTAATCTTCTAAAATTTCACTAGAGAAAGTTATGTGGAGAAGTAATATACTTTTATACAAGTTCGGAAATTAAGAGTAGTTCATTCAGGCTGTGTGTCAGGCTGATTGTTATTTTGGTTCAGATATCACAGAATCATACGCAGAATGATATAATCATAAAATCATAGAATCAATCATAGAATCACAAGATTGCTTTGGCTGGAAGGAACCTTAAAGATTACCTAGTTCCAACATCCTTGGCATGGTCATGGGCTCCTTCCACTAGATCAGGCTGCCCAAAGGTCTATTCAACCTGGCCTTGGATAGGATGGGACATCCATCCTTAACTTCTGTGGGCAACCTGGTTCCAGTGCCCTACCACCATCAAAGGCAAAGAGTTTCTTCCTTGCATCTAATCTAAATCTATTCTCCTGTAGTTTAATGCTGTTACCCCTCGTCCTGCCACTACATGCCCTTGTAAAAAGTCCTAAGAATGGATGGCTGCTGTAAGGTCTCCTTGAAGCCATCTCTTCTTTGCGGTGAGCAACATCAATTCTTTCAGACACTCTTCATAGAAGTGTTCCAGACATTTAATCATCTTTGTGGTCCTTCTCTGGATTTGCTACAACAGGAAAATGTTCTTTTTATGTTGGAGGTTCCAGAGCTGAACACAGTATTTCAGGTAGGATCTCACAAGAGTAGAGTAGAGGGAAGAATCACCTCCCATTGACCTGGCAGTGATGACTCCTTTGTGGAGTGGCCCAGGATATGATTAGCTTTCTGGGCTGGACATACACATTGCCAGGTCATATTGAGCTTCTCATCAATCAGCATTTCCAAGTCCTTCTCCTCAAGGCTGTTCTCAGTCTATCCTCCACTTAGCCTGTTTGTTTGTTTGTTTGTTTTCTTAGGAATGCCCTGATCTGAGTGCAGGACATCATTGCACTTAGACTCATTGAACTTCACAAGGTTCACATGGGCCTATTTCTCAAGCCTGTCAAGATCCCTTCCCTGCAGCATGTCAGCTGCACCACACAGTTTGTAATCACACTGAGGGTTCACTCAGTCCCACTGTCCACTTTGCTGTCAAAGATGTATAGGTATCAACCCCTGAGGAACACTACTCATCACTGTTCTCCACTTGGACATTGAACCATTAACCACAGTTCTCTTGACCATCCAGCCTATTTCCTATCCACCAAGTGGTCCATCTGTTACATCCACATCTCTCCAATTCAGAGACAAGATTTCCAAGACAATAACTCACTACTAAAACAAACAAATTTGCATTATCATGACTCTTCTCACTCTTGGAAGATTGAGGCTGGCTACACTCACGTCTGTGAACAATGATCTACTTCTTACTTAGATAGGTATTTTGAAGATAAACATGCAAATACTGTTAACTGTAGTGTGCCTAAGGAATTTCAGCTAAACTAATCTTTTATTACATTCTGCAAAAAGGTAGGATGGTATTTTATTGCATTCAGTTTCTCCATCAGCATTTTACAGACATTTACAAATAATGCATCATTTTTTGAGGATGGCTAAAAAATAAACAAACAAAAAAAGCTCATACTACTACACTCCTCATAGTGAATAAATTTTTGATTTTTTGATGTGTTACATTTACAGAGAAGGAATTGAATGTGGTTCTGCCAGAACATTTTATAAAACATTTAAGTGTGTCTATTCAATTAGATTCTATTCAAGAATCCTCTATTAGTATACATGATGTTAAGATCAGTCTATGCTTACATAGAATCAAAGAATCATAGAATGGCCTGGGTTGAAAAGGACCATAATGATCATCTAGTTTCAAGTCCCCTGCCATAGGCAGGATCACCAAACACTGGATCTGGCTGCTCAGAGCCACATCCAGCCTGAATGAATGCCTCCAGGAATGGGCATCCACAACCTCCTTGGGCAACCTGTTCCAGTGCTTCACCATCCTCTGTGTGAAAAACGTCCTCCTAATATTTAACCTAAATCTCCCCTTTCTCAGTTTAAAATCACTCCCCCTTGTCCTATCACTCGTAAACAGCCATCCCCCCTCCTGTTTATATGCTCCCTTCAAGCACTGGAAAGTCGCAATGAGGTCTCCCCATCTACCCATGTAAAAAGACAGTCTCACTCCTGTTTATAAACTGTTAAATACTGGAAAGCTGCAGTGCGGTTTGCCTGGACCTTTCTCTTCTCCAGACTAAACAAGCCAAGCTCCCTTATCTTGTCTTCATAGCAGAGGTGCTCCAGTCATCTTTGTGGCCTCTTCTGGGCCCTCTTCAAAAGCTGCACATCTTTCATCTGTTGTGGGCCAAAGAGCTGGATGCAGTAGCTTAGATGGGGCTCACAAGGACATTCACCTCCATTGCCCTACTGGCCACCCTTCTTTTGATGCAGCCCAAAATACTATTATGTACTCATGATAACTTTTCCATCTTCCAGGTCCCTAATTCCATCTCCGCAGGGATTCTTTTAAGGAGTTCTTCTCTCAGTATGTATACATATCTAGGATTGCCCTGGGCCATGGCCTGTTACATTCTCAGAAGCAGTTTCTGAAGTTATGAATGGTGAAAGAGTTAGTTTCAAAGGCTTTTGTGTGCCTCAGTATTCTTTCCCTAAAAGATGCTTGTTTTCACTCGTATTGGCAAATATGCATTTGTTCACAAGATTTAGAAATTACAATATCCCTTTCTCATGTTTTGTCTCCTAATTTTTCATGTTGTTTGGAGCTTTAAAATTACCAGTAGTTTAATGGCATATTTGTGGCCCTTTTCTTAACTACTGGTTATTTATCTGAAGTCTCTAAATGCTAGTCTCTTGCCAGTTAGATTCAGAAGATGATATTCAGAAAAAGAAAGCCACCTTTGAATGTCGAATTAGAAGAAGCTGTATAACTGAATCATTGATTGACTGAAGATTATGGTTAGATATTCCTGAAAAGATATTTACTTTATTTACAGAGCTAGTATATGGGAGAGGTTGTGTAGTTGCTGATTTGGCATTATGTCAAGAGGGCAGTTGACATAGCTCTGACAATTCAGGAGTCACGCAAGTTGTCAGAGTCTTATCTGATACCATATTACCTAAACATGAATTTCTCTTCTCTAAAGAGAGTGGATATTTTTGGTTTTTTTTACATTTCACCTTTGTTCTTTGTGTTTAAAACCAAACCAAACCAAACCAAAACAAACAAACAAACAAACAAAAAACTAAGAAAAAATGGGAATAATTTTTAAGCATTGTTTTCCTCTTTCAGGTGTTTTATCTTTGAAATCCATAGATGACAGTTTGAGCAACCATTTTTCAAATGAGAAATTTTCTTACTTACTCCTAACAATTTTAAATTGGTTTCTCCATGCATATCTTTGTTATCTTAGTAATTTTCTCTTCCTTCTTTTTTAAAGAAGTATAGAATACTTCAAGGCAATTCCAGGTTTGAGGAAGGAGGCCAGAATTATCTCCTGCCTAGGAAGAAAAAAGCCAACATTTTTAAACCCTGCAAAATTCATTGCTGTAATTTTAGTGACTGTGCTCATCCACACCTGCTATCATTAGCAATATGGCATATTATCTAACTGAAAATTCTTAAAGGAATTTCCAAAACAAGATTGTTACCTGTGCTGCTGCTTTACTTTCAAGAGGACTGAAAGTACCCATCATTTACCCTTTTGATGGCAGTGTCAAGAAATGAATAGCCTTTATGCCATTAGTTCTCTGCAGTCATATATTGTATATTCATTTACAGGCATTGTCCATTATAGACAGTGTCCCCCTATAACAGGTTTCACTAATGATCGTTTTTGTCTGCCAAGACTATCACAGAAGTCAGCTTAAAACAAAGGAAAACACTGGGGAAAAAAGTCTAGGTATTTACATGTTGCCAGGATTTCAGTCTTCAGTCGTTCAGCTATTTCTGGCGCCTGTTTATAGCTGTC